CCAATCGGATTAATTTCTTAATTAATCCTCTATGGGGTAAGAAGCCCCCATAGAGGATAAGTGTAGCAAAAATGTGAAATAATGTTGGATCAAATCATCTGAACACGAGGCAACCAGGAAGTGAGCCACCAAACATTGGAGACTATGATACATGTCAAGTCCAGCACTGGGAGACATGCCAGATCCTTACCCCCAAGATGAAGGACATCCACATGAGGAGCACCCCAAGAAGCATGGGCCAAGTGAAGCATGCCTGACAGGTCCAGTCAACAAAGACCCCAGTGATCAAGCCAGCTGATTGAAACAAGCTCCAAAATGAAGCCCTAATTCTGTCCAAGCAAACTTGAGAGAGCACGGTGCGATGCCCAGTACACAAATGAATAAACACAACCGACCTGAAACAAAAACAGCCATTCAGCCAAGAGGGCTAAGGAAAATAACAGATGTGGGTGTGTGTGGGGTAAAACTCATCAAGGGGGAATGGAGCCAGCAGGACCCTTACTAGAGATAAGAAGCCTAGCATTCATCCTGTAACATGGGGACCTCCAGCGTCTCACTGCACTAAAAACCCAACCATGCAGAATGAATGACAGCACCAATATGAAATGAATGGGATGTAATACAAAGCAACAAAGGTGGGTATGAGTGGCAGCAGCTCTCAACACCATAACAAATTGCTACCTAGAAAAGGAATGACCTATCCTGATGCTCCAGGTACTGGGCTGAAATGGGCAGTCGCAGCTGGGCAAAAAAATTGAGCAAAGCTCCTGGCCTCATGGAAAGTGTCACCCAAGAACCCCTGCCTATATGATCTGTATTAGATCTAGGGACAAACAACAAAACTGCATACCCCATCAGGGAAACATGGGAAAACTGAACCCCAAACTCAATGGCCATCAGCTCCCACAATCCCTAAAAATACTGGGCCAAAAGCAACACAGAACAAGGAGACTTTGTAAAGGGTGTAAGAGACAAAGAACAAAACGTGCAAACTGGAATGAGGGGTAATGGGTACCCTGCCTTTAGGATCCCTCAACTTAACTCTACTCCCAATGTGTTGGCAAAGTGCCTTCCTCAAGGGATTTACTGAAATCTCCTTGAGGAAGGCATTTTGCCGAAACATTGGGGCTTATTTGGTCTCCAGTCTCTGGTCAGTATACCTTGTTTTACACTTGTGAGTTTATTTACTTATATGCACTTTAGAAGTACTAGTCATTGGTACTTTGGGTTTTATATGTATGCACTTTAGTAATGTATACTGTGTATATATATATATATTTGAGCAAAATAAAATTTTCTTGTATTTGGTTTCATTTTCTATACACCATCATTGGAGACTGGGGGAAGAGAAATCTCAGCAGAGGCGACCAAACCTCAAGGTATGAGCTGCAGGGGAGAGTGGAGGGGCAGGGGAGGAAATAACTGAGGTAGGAGAGGTGAGCACAAGGCCAAGGGGAGAAAACAGGAGGGGGAACACCAAGGTAAGTAGAAGAAGGAAAAGAAGGAAAAGAAACAGGATTGGGGACAGACATGGAGGGTGTGATAGAGGAATCCCTTATCCACTTGGGAGGAACAACAGCCTGCTGAGCACAATCTATGCTTTAAAACTTGCGGAGGAGAAACCAGAGAGAGACTGGCAGGCTGTATGGGACCCCAATAAGGCATGAAGAGGCCTCTCCTTCCAGCCACACAAAGTAACCATTTAGTTGCAGTTGCCTCCAAGGAGACAACCCCTTAATTTATGTGCCCACTGGGCCCTCCACTCCCATAATTCTAATAGCTGTAAATAAGGGAACCGGCTGCGGTTACAAAACAACTCCTCATTATTTTGAAATGCAGCCATTTTTGAACAGTTTGCAACTGATTTGTAAAAGAAGAGGAATGTACTTAGGGATTTATTTCCATTTACTGATAATTTTGCTGCCCTTGTTTCTAATGTTTTTGTAATTAAAATTTGAATGCCACTTCTCTATATCATTTGTACTTTCTTTTATTATTTGTATTGCACTCATTTTGTTTGTGGTACTCTAAATATTTATTTGTTTCAATATTGTGAAAAAGAAAAATGCCATTACATAAAAAACTACAAACTATATGCAGACATTCCAATTCTCCCGGTAGTTCCGGGAGCCTCACGCATTTTAATTGCGTCTAAAACCCGCAAATCCTATAAAATATCCTGGAAATCACACACGCAATTTCACTTACAAACAGAACCACCTCTTATGGTTCTACATATAAAACATGCAAAAAAATGTATATATAATATATACTGTGTCTTAGGTGCAAGACCAAGTGGTGTTAAATTGTGCAACCACACAACACTACCTCAATATGGAAAAATTATATATATTCTCTGTTACCTGGAGTAGATATAGTAGATGGTATAAATCTGAATAGGAAAACTCTGAAGTATAGTAACAGTATAGGAGGAAATAAAAGGAAAAAACTTATAGTGTAGTATTTAATACAAAAAGACAAAAATATAAGGTAAAACTGACACTCACAATATAAAATGGCACAAAAAAAGTTTTTGGGTGCAATAAAAGCCTTGCCCCTAGTGGGGCCACTTATCTCCAGGAAGATGCACTCTTGAAGTCTCTATAGGTCCTGTGAGGGCAAGTTCCCTTTTTGTTTGGATCCAAAATCTAAATTGCTTGTAATGTTCCTTGATGGGAAGAACTCCTTCACTTGAGGCTTATCCAAGAGTCAGTATGTGCAAATTCGTCCACTCGATGCGTTTCGTCTGTAGACCAGACATTTTCAAGAGCTGTCCATTTCCCAACCTTTTCTTGTTTAAATACCCCGCTAAGGGGTTTCCCCAACCCCATCTCCACATGGACTTCCATACTCTGCGTCTCCATACGCATGACGTAATCACGCAAGCGTATGGAGACGCATGCGCCCAACACTGCGAGTGAAAAGCATCCCCCCAGACCCAACGCACACGCGTCCCCCAACGTTTGCAATAGTACCTAACTTGGGATCCTGTCTTTTTTGTCAATCAACTTTATTTAAATGATCATTATAACCATACTCTATCCGTCTTTTGTGGTGTAGGGAACTGAATTAAACAGACATTTTTATATATACATATGCACCCATGAGAATATGAAATATGTTTGTCAAATTGTTTGCTTGGTTTCCAGGATATTGGATATGATTTGCAGCCCACCGATAATACTCGCAAGACAGGAACCCAGTCAGGTGCCAGCCCTTCAAGATCCGACCGGCCCCTGTTACTGATAGGCCAAATGGGAGTATGTGACAGCCTCTAACTTCCTCCCAGTATTACAGATTGCAGCGTGGGAGTAATGGAGGGAGGAGGAGGATGGATGCAGTAGTGGCACCACCGCATGGAAGCAGAGGAGGTGCATGCTCACTCCCATCAGCCTCAGCGAGGACCAGGACCCCAAGCAAACCACCCTTGTGGACAGAAAAGATAGGCTAACAGTAGGGTGGGAGCAAATATAAAAAGTATGACTTGTGTGTGTCAGATTTTGTGTGTATGTGTATGTCATTGTGTCTGTATTTGTGTGTTAGTGTGTGTCAGTATGTATCTGAGTTTGTGTGTAGCTGTGTGTCAGTATATATTATATTTGTGTGTGTGTGTGTGTATCAGTGCAAATCAGAGTGTGTGTATCTGAGTATGTATCAGTGCATTAGAGTAAGTGTGTCTGCCAGTGTGTGTATCTGTCTGCCAGTGTGTGTATCAGATTGTGTGTATGTGCCAGTGCATGTATTTGCGTATTGGAATATTTATACCTTACACTAAGCATCTATGCCAAACACATGCACTGTCACATTACTTTTCATGCACTGTTACATCAAAAAACTGTATGTAAACCTTAAATAACAATACCCATAGCGACTTTTAAAACAGCATTTAAAACCTGCAGCACATCTTGGCCTCAATCAAATCATTCCTCTCCATACCCCTCTCCTGCCTTACCTAAATTACTCTCTCACAAACTATAATTAGAACCTGAATCAGAATTATTGCTGCATTCACTGGTTGACACCAAACTAAACACCTGCTATCTCCCAAAGATGCCAACCATATCTTCCACACGATACCTTCCAGAATACTTAATGAACTGCTGTTTGGGGAATGCAACACGAGAGAATTGTATTCACTACATTCTTCTACATTTCGTCTTTATCTCTTGCTCTTCATTATCTTACTTTCCTCTCCATCTGGATGGATTAGTCCATGACCACCAGCTCTTCTTGCTCCACAAGAAAATTGTCTGATTTTCTGGTATTTATATCACTTATATGCTAGTGATATTCTGATTTACCACTCCTCTCCTTTTCAGCCTCTCTATTTTCCTGTTACCATACCAACCAACTTTCTTGCTGTCTCTTATGATTTTCCAACTCCACCTGAAATGTAAACTTTGTAAAACTGAACATAAAATCAGCCCTTTAAAAAAATAAAAATAATAATAATAATAAATCTAGAATTGTAAATGTATACCAAACTGGCATGGAACAAGGAGCCCTAACTGGAGCTATTTTCCTTGATTTTGCTAAGGCCTTTGACACAGTAGACCACGACATCCTACTGCACAAACTCGAAAACTCAGGTATTGGTGATCATTCTTTAAACTGGTTTCGATCGTTTGTATCGGATCGCTCTCAATATGTGTCCATTTCTGACAGTGACTCCCTCCCTCTCCCAGTCACGTGTGGTGTTCCCCAGGGTTCCATTCTCGGCCTCCTACTATTTACATTATTTATAAATGATCTGCCTAATGTCTGCCAATCCTCAAATGTACACATGTACGCAGATGACACGGTAATCTATGCGAGCAAATCCAATCTACCTCAACTTGAGGCTTTGCTCCAAGACCAGTTTACAGAGGTAGAAAAGTGGATCGCAAAAAACAAACTCTTCCTGAACACTGACAAAACTGTCACAATGATCTTTGGAACGGTACCTAAATTACACAAATTACACAATCCCCACCTATCCATCAAAACAAATTCAAATGGCACACTGACCGCGGTCCACTCTTTCAAATACTTGGGTATGATATTAGACCCCAATCTATCTTTTAGCCTGCACATAGAAAAGCTTGCATCTAAACTTTATCCAAAATTAGGTGCCCTGTACAGAAACAAAGCCTGCCTAAGCCCTACAGTAAAGGAAAAGATTGTACAGCAAATGCTGATGCCAATAATTGATTATGGGGATGTAGTATATGCGTCTGCATCGCAATCCCACATTAATAAACTCAACACATTGTATAACTCGTTCTGCAGATTTGTGCTACAATGTAATTACAGGACCCATCATTGTGACATGCTAAAGGAACATGCACAATTTAAAATCTTCCCTAAGCCTAAAGTCATTTAAGAGATCCCTCTCTACATACCTCAAAACAGAATGCACCTGTTATGGTTGATTATATATTTCCTGCCTGTTCTATGTTAAATTTTGTATATATTGTGTATTAATATTGTTTTTGTATTTTGTTGTACCTAATGTAACAATGCAATGATTTGTGGACCCAGGACATACTTGAAAACGAGAGAAATCTCAATGTATCTTTCCTGGTAAAATATTTTATAAATAAATAAATAAATAATGTAAGAAGCTATGCTTCCAAGCTTATCTTAGGAAATCACTTAAAATCACATCAAAATTTTACTTACCGTGAAAGTTAAAGATGTGGAACAAAATAAAAAAATAAGATAATAGATGTTTTCGGCAATTAGATATAGCACACATTAACAGGGTTATTCGCTAAAGTTAGCATTCAAGGCCGAAGTAGCCAAACTTGAAAGTTATTGTGGAGTTAGAGACTTTTTTTTTTCACTTTGGCTAATTTGACCTTTGAAATTTAAATGTACTTTAAGTTCTCACGATTGAGAATAGCCCTGTAATTAACAGTATTACTTTTACCATTAAATTCATATTTTCATACGGTATAATATTTTTTCAATGTAGTGAGCCATAATTTAGATGATGCCTGCTGAGTATCAATACATATATATATATATATATATATATATTTTTTTTTATGTAGATCAAGAATGCTCAGAAAACTAAAACATCTGGAAAAAGTTCCATTTGGCATTATATTTCTGGAAATGGAAGTCTCCTTTTACAAACACTGCTCTAGTAAACTTCCCTCCTCCATTACATGCTATAGAGGATTCCTCCTGTCTTACTCCTTGTGCAATCGCTGAGCCTTGAAATCTTTAGAGCATGTGTTCTGTTGCAATTTAGTGCAACCAGATGTTTCTTTCAACCTGAGACATTTATTAAAAATGTAGACAGTGAGGATACATAAAAATTATTATTATTATTATTATTACTAGCATTTATTTAACGCAAACATATTTTGCAGCACTTTACAATTATAGAATAGGGAAATTTGGAAACCTATATTTGACATACATAATATAACAATATAACAAAGACAAGATGTAACGAAGGCACTGCTCAAACAAACTTACAATCTATGAGTACATATCGTATATGAATGGTTAAATGTCAGAATTCAAAGAAATCTTTACTACCCAGCTGGTCATGAAGTAAGACGCTGAGTGGGCGGAGTGTCTGAGAAGCCGGCGGGTGCAGGAGTTCCCCAAGTAAGTAAGATGCTATCCTGAGGCGGTTTACTCTGACGAACGCCAACCCACATCGGGGAGACTGGGCATAGGAACCTAGTGCTGAAACTGGGAGCAGGAAAGTTTTTGTTTCTTCTCACACGGAGACCAGGTAACCGTGAGTACAGCCCAGAAAGAGGCTCAACAAGCAGGGGCTGCTTGGTGCATAGCTCAGAGGGGAATAATTAGAGGGATCAGACGGAGGGGAAAAAAAAAGGAGAAAAAAAAGCAGGAAAGAGTAAGGGGAAAATAAATTATACAAGGATAGACAGTGGATAAAGAGATTTACAAAGAAAAAAGGGAGAAAGCAGTGAAAAGAGAGAGAGGGAAGAGAGAGGGGTAGGAAGAGTTAAAGAAAAGTGAGGGGGAAAAGAAAAGAATCCCGGAATAAAGGTCAAACAGAGAGTAGCAGTCTCAGAGGTTAAATACTGCTTCCACTTGCTCTTTTTCCCTTCATATTTGTATTTCCACTGTGTATATATATATATATATGTATATATATATATATAAAAAATTCCCCCGCACTCATGCTTAGTAGTATTCAAAAATGCCGGGTGCTATAGCCTGGACTCCAAAAGTACAAGGTGCCAAAAAATAGCTGCTCACTGGTCTTTAAAACTCCAATACTTTATTTCAAGTTAAAATCAGAGACCGTTTCAGTCCCCGCTCGGGACTTTCCTCAGGGACTTTCCACCTGAGGAAAGTCCCGAGTGGGGACTGAAACGTTGGTCTCTGATTTTAACTTGAACTAAATAAATTATTGGAGTTTTAAAGACTGGTGAGCAGCTATTTTTTGGCACTATATATATATATATATATATATATATATATATATATACGCATTACTGGTTCCCCCAATTGTTCATAAAAAGGCTGCAAAGTATAAAAAAAGAAACAAACTTGCAAGGAGTGAAGATAGAGGAAAATATGGCTACGAAAAAAGAAACAAGAGAATTGAAGCTAAATACAAAATAAGATAAAAAAGCAGAAGTGGAACAAAAACTAAAATTAACTTCTATGTTCTCCCCACAAATCTCTAAAAAAAGAAATAATGAGGAAGAGTCCCAGGAAGACTCTGTAAGTTCAGTAGAAGGAAATGGGAAAATAATGAGCAGAACTTCTCTTAGTACTTCAATACTGGAAACGCAACATATTTCTCAAGCTCAATTATAAATTTGCTTAGATAATCACATTGAGCAAATAAAAACAGAATTGAAATTCCAATATTCTGATTTTAAGGAAGAACTAATAAAAATGGGCTCAAAGATTCATATTCAGGAGGAAAAAATTGAAGGATTACATTTTGATCTACAACAAGCTAACGCACAAATTGCGGGGCTATAGAAGAAGATAAGTGAGATAGAGGATAAAATAACTGATAATGAAGACCGTAGCCGTAGAAAGAATCTAAGGGGTTACAGAGAAAATTGAAAATCAGCAGCTTAATAAATTCCTCCTGGAGCTATTCAAAGAAATGGCGATTGAGGAAGCAAATAGTGACTCAATCATAGAGAGAACACATAGAGTTTCCAAACCAAGAGGTATTTCTGAGGAGCTACATAGAGACGTAATCATACGCTTTCCCTCTTTTTACATCAGACAAAATTTCAAGCAACCAGAAATTTCTCTCCAACAGACAAAAGATTCTCAAACTTGTCATTTTTTCAAGACCTATCAATTATGACAAGACAAAAAAGGAGAGAATTCGCAGAATACACTACCTGCCTCAGAGAAAAAAATATTAAATATGTATGGAACAACAATAAGCTCTTTATAATTGACAAAGTGGCTAAAGCAAAGGAGTGGGTTGACAAGCTAGCAATATAATTATCCATATGCAAGAAACACTAGTGTAGTTTAAGTAAATGTGCTCGAGGGAAAATATAAGAGATAGGGAAAAATATAGCTAAAAACCTAGTTATTTTTTTATTTTTCTTCTTTTTCGAGAAGGACTATAAGCCTGATAATAAGCACAATGTAAATTACTCACATAAGATAGTAATGATGAGTCTGGTGGAAAGGCAAAATAAGATGATTTAGTAATCAAAGGGAAAGGGGAAGCAATATAAATATATAGATATGCACACTAAACACATACAAATTAAAGAGAAAGCAAAAGTGAAAGTAAGGGGTAGGCAGAATAATTAGATAGGATTTGCATATTATGTACACAAATATAAAAATGATCACGTGACACATATAAAACAATGTAGCAGGATAGGTTAAAGGACCACTATAGTGCCAGGAAAACATACTCGTTTTCCTGGCACTCTAGTGCCCTGAGGGTGCCCCTGGAGGCTTTGGGGGAAGGCTTAACCCATTCATAAACATAGCAGTTTCTCTGAAACTGCTATGTTTATAAAAGAATGGGTTAATCCTAGCTGGACCAGGCACCCAGACCACTTCATTAAGTGGTCTGAAGTGGTCTGGGTGCCTAGAGTGGTTCTTTAAGGATACACTTGAATATTGGAATTAGGTTAGGGACACCCGAACAATGAGAGAAGGGGACGCACAGATATGAAACACTACCAGGGTGCAGATTGCTGAATGCCTCCTATCACAACACAGGGTGGAGGAGTATTTATATATATATATACACAAAAGAGTTAAGGGTGAATGTTTTTATTTTTTTGGTCTCTCCCAAGATAGATACATTTCCACAAAAGTATATTGCACCCGCAAAAGTTTCTCACTGGATCGATGACTCAATCTGTTTTTACAACTCTTTGGACGTATATGGGGAAGGTGGAGTTCCCTTATGTCCATGTTTTCTCTGGTTGGAGAGTCAACAAGAAAGATGTGACTCCTAATCAGAAGTTGAGTAGATTTAAGTATTTTAAGTCAAGAAAGGAAAGTTTGTATGGCTGTTTGTGTGTGTGTCTTTTTTTGTTTTTCCTCTATTTTCTCTAACTTTTGTGCTCTATACGGTGAGGGAAACGAATGGGCAAACATTAGATATAAGAAAAAGGATGAATAACTTAAAGGTGATTACTCTTACTGTAAAAGGCTTAAATGTACCCCAAAAAAGAATTATGCTATATGATATGCTGAAAAAAGATAGAATTGATGTATGCTGCCTTCAAGAGACCCATTTAGAGGCTCAGGACAACAAAAGCTATCCAAATGTAGAATATGCAACATTACAGAAGGGCAAAAAGAGGGGGTGGCAATAATGATATCTAGCAATATAAAATATGAATTCATCTTTAAACAGGCAGATAAACAGAGTCGCTATCTTCTTTTGATTTGTAAACTGGATAAAAATTTTTTCTCTTTTTTGAATATATATGCCCCCCAACAAAAAACAAGTGCATTTGTTTAATAAAACTCTTGAGAAATTATATGAAACTATCCAAGGCACGTTTGTATGCTTGGGAGATTTTAACTGCGTATCAGATATTACTCTGGTTAACCCCTTAAGGACACATGACATGTGTGACATGTCATGGTTCCCTTTTATTCCAGAAGTTTGGTCCTTAAGGGGATAAAAGCATCCCAAAAGGGAAAACTATGGATGCCTCTTACAAGGGTTGGCTCAAGCATTCCAGGAAACTTGGGTAAATATAAACTATATGATTTATGGAGAATATTCAATCCACTAGAAAAACAATATACTTACTACTCATCAAGACATAACACATACTCTAGATTGGATAAAATATTGATTAAAGATA